GTGGTCAGGCATGTAGTGGATGTGTGCCAGGATGACTCGCAGCAGCTGCTCTGGGCAAAAGACCAGGTGCTGGTCAGGGATGAAAGACCTGCAGGACAGGACAGGGAAACATCACAGCATTACTCCTCAGTTTGCGGGAGCTGTCATCTTGGGAGGGCAGGATGACTGGCCCATACCACAGCTCTACCTGTAACCTTCTGGCCAGCCCARGCCCTCATATCACACAACCACTGCAGCCAAGATCAGTACTATCCCCTTTCTCCAGCCCGGTCCTGCCTCTCCACAGCCATGCTCCTTAGTCACACAGATTCACATCCATTTGCAAGCAAAGAGCATGATTACAYGGACTGTCACCAGCCCCACTGCTCCCCAAGGCACTGCCAGGAGCACAGGGGCAGCACAGACCCACCTCACCTGCACACCGTGATGCCCACCCCGAGCAGGGTGACCGTGGTCAGGACATGCTCGACTGCAAGCACGTCCTCATCATAGATGGTGAGAGCGATGAGCACAGCCAGGATGGAGCCAGCAAAGAAGGCCACGTTCTTGGCCACGATGGTGAGAAGCGGGGAGATAAAGCAGTTCATGTACTTGGAAGCTGGCTTGTACCCCTTGCTGAGGCGTGAGTGCAGTTCGTGATCCAGCTCATTGAAGTGACGGAGGTAACAGCGGCCATAGAGAGACCAGCAGCGGGCACCCAGGCTGCCCGGCTCCCGCTTCAGGATCTCTGTGTAGCTGAAGAAAGCATAGAGGATCTGCCAGATGAGGATGAGGGGGCAGAGGAGGAAGTTAGCAATGCCAATCCAGAGGATGCGAGTGCTGAGCTTCTCAGCCAGCTCCAGGCGGTTYCCGGCCCGCTTGTATTCAGCCTTCAGGCTCCACTCGTTCTCAAAGAGGGAGCCGGGACCCCAGAAGAAGATGAGCTCAAAGTTGTACTTGAGCCCACGTGTGTAGAAGACGGTGTCTCCCAGCAGGGGCAGGCGGAAGCGGATGGGCAGCAATGACTTGTTCACCATGGCCACCATGTAGTTCTTGAAGCGGAGGATGCGGTGATAGATGTCCAGCTCTGTCAGCTCCTTCTTGTGGATGCAGATCTGGTGCTCCTTCTGGATCTGCACAATGCGGGCCTGAACCTCCTGCCAGGTATAGTAGGGCAGGGTGGACTGGAAGGGGACAAGGAATAGGATTAGGGGCAGGAAGCATCCAGGGTACACAAACCAGGCTGAGCCCACTGAAGGAGCAGGTCCCAGCATACACTTTGGGATGCTGACAAAGTCCAGGACATAAGACACCTTCTGGCATTGATTCCGCCTGCAGCAGGCAAACCCCAYACCTTGCCCTGGTGCCCTTTACCCCTCAGATTAGCATAGATGACTGTTTCCCAGCTACCTGTGCACCAGCTGCCTAGGAGGCACAAACACAGCTCCAGGTTTCCATGCATCCTCCCAGAGCTGCCATTAGGAGTCAGCAGGGAGAAACAAATAGGAGAATGGACTTAAGCAGTGTCCCAAAAGAGAGCCCACTGAAAAACTGTGGACAAACCAAGCCTCTTGGCTCACCCCACCTTCCTCAATACATTTTCTCCCTTCAAAGGATGTACACACACCCCTTTATGTCATCTATCACAGCAAGGACTCTGGACTAGGATGTATGTGCAAGCCTCAAACCCCATCTGTAACACACTGATCTCCTGTGTGACCTTCACCACCAAGCAGGTCCAAGCCTCCCAAGTAAACACAGAAGCTGAGGTTGTTCACATCCCAGGGAGATAGGAGGATATCCTTGCTCATGCCTTCTCTGTGGAAGGGATCAGAAAAAAGGCCATTGCATGAAGAATACCCATATTGGGGGGCATACAGCAGAGGCACGTGCCAGCAGGCACAGAGGCAGGCTGGGTAGAGAGGGGTTAACATGGAGTAAGATGGCAGCTGGAGAAGAGGCTGAAGGGGGACCATGTGGTTATGGAGCAGAGGGAAGAGCGCTCTGACGGAGAAGTGGAGAGGCATGAAGGCAAGTTCCAACCACTCAGCAAATGCCTCCTATGACCCTCATGTGGTCCCTGGCTCAGACACTTACCATGGGGATTTTCAGGGCATTGATGTAGAAAGAGTGAATCTCCCAGTAGCAGCAAATGTTGTAGATAAATTTGACGAGTCGATGGATCCAGAAAACCCCAGCTATCACCAGGATGCAGATGAGGAAGCTGTTTGCCTGGATTCTGCAAGCAAGAACAGGCAAGTAGTGAGATACAGGCCCAGACAGGAGCCCTGAGTACTTCAGAAAGCAAGAGCTTGGCTAACATGCCCTCCACTGCCCCTACCTTGCACTGCAGACATTTGGAGGCAGGAAGGCGTCTGGCAGAGTCACCTTAATAGGCTCACTAGGATGCTGGCTGTGATTTAATGCTTTGTTGGCAAAGAGGATGTCGTAATCAACGCAGCTGATAAGAAAAGTGGTGAATGCCACCACAAAGATGAACTGCCTGTGAAAAAAGAGAAGTGTTGTGAGGGAATCACCCTTCTGCTCCACCCCAAATCACAAAGCAGCTGGGGTCATACACCATGGAGATACAACCCCACAGCCATGACAGCAGGAAAGCTCACAGGCAGTGGTTTCCCAGAGTGAAATACATGTCTGGGGCATGGAAAACCCTAATGAAGGGGAGACAGGACAACTAAGAAAGGAGCCCTTCCACCCACAGAGCTGCAAGAGCTTGGCAATTCCTGTGGCTGTTGTCTCAACAGCCGTCACAGCCACCACACAGGAAACTGCACTTACATAAGCTCAAAGATCTCTCCAATGAGCATGCAAGTGAAGCCATTCTTCTGATGCAGGTTATAGACGTGAAGGCCACAGTCAAGGAGAACAGCATGGAGATTCCTCTCTGACAAAGCATGGAGAGGCCTCTGTCCCACGGGTATTCCACAGCTCCCCCACCAAGTCTCCTTTCACCACTAAGAGAAAATTCCTCCTGCCCCTACTCATCAGCAAGCTGGTTCCCAGGAACTGCAGGAAAACACACTCTGCCCAGTTAAAGCATGGATGGGGTAGAAGGACTTGGCTTCATTCATGCTCCTTTCTTCTTCCACTCAACACCCATAGTGGGGTCCAGCACAGAGCAGAATCTTGGCCTGCACTCAGGCTGCACAAGGGAAGGGCAGGGTAGAGCAGAACAAGACAGACAGACAAAAAACATGTTTAGTGGCACCTAGYGCCTGCTCCTGACCCCAGCAATGTGGTCAGCACAACTAACACCATTTTATAAGGCAAGCAGTCCTTCCCCGGCCCCGAGGGGGTCACCTATTAGTGAGTCACCCTTTCCCCAGTTATCAGGTGCTGCAGGTCCTGTGAACCAAGCAGATAAATCAAACGGGTTTCTCCTTCCCCTCCCTACYGGCCTCAAGATTCCTTGGCACCAGGCCAATTACTCTCTTCCGTGTTGTGCTTCAAGGTCCCAGGCACCTAGCCAACCCAACAGASGTGATGACCCCATCACAGAACAGGRAAATATTAACAGCACCCAGAGCACTATCCATAAAATCATGCAGTTACAAATCCTACRTGGGAACTTGTATCAAGCTGGTGTTTGACAGCGAGACCCAGGACCCCTCAGTAGACAGGGACACCCCCTTTGTCATCTGCTTYGTCTAAGGACTGAGTATCTYACATTCATTCATGTGATTTTTGAGTCTACATTATGATCATTATACTGATACAGCAAACCATATATTAAGATACTCTACATCCATAGAGAGTCCAGATTATTAAAAACCACAAACTAAGAGACATTATAAAATTCTGTGTTACGCTACTCATAAAATTTTACTGCACTGATTCTGCCCACAAAAATCCTATGTTACTCAGAATGTAAATGCCACACTAACAATAAAACCTTGTTRAAAGTATAAAGCATTAACTGTATATATAACAATACCATCATCACTCTCTCAAAAATTCCTAGAAGCACCTGTATGACCYCGTATCAGGTGACAGCATCCCAAGGTGTGGGGGTTCTGTCAGCCCCTCTGGAGCTGTGTAGTGTCCTACAGGAAGGGGCTGACACTGCCCTAGCTTCAAGTTACACCAATCCCCCGTGTTTTCCCTCTACTGAGAGCCCGGGAGGAGAGGTACACATCCCACCAGATCCCCGCCTTGCAAAAGGATATGCGAGAGAAGAAAAGGTCGAGRTTCTCGATGTGATGCCACGGAGCTGAAGGAAGAAGCAACACAGGGTGAGGGGGCCTCAGCACACCCACTCTTGGTGTTGTGACCGGCACAACCCACCCCTTCCCCGCTGCCCCTGGGACCGAGGGCTCAAACCAGCCCGCAGCGGCCACCCCGGCTCCCCTCGGTGTCCAGCCTCTCCCCCGCGTCCCCGGCCTCTCCCGCACCCCGCCGCCGGCCAGGCCCCAAACCCCCGGTGCCGGTGCTGCCGCTCACACTTGGCGCCCTCGGGGACGTGGACGAGCAGGTCGCCGCCACCGGGGGGAGACTCGGTGGAGGAGCTCTCCAGGCGCTGGTACTGCGTCTCGAAGTGGGCCATGGCGGGGCCCCGCCGCCGCACCGGCCCGGCGCGGCCCGGCCCGGCCCGCTCGGCCCCGCCGCGATTGGCGGGCGCGGCGCCCAATGGCGAGCGGGGGGTGGGACGCGTTGGGCCAATGGGCGAGCGGGGGGCGGGCCCCGAGGCGGTGGCGCGCGGGATGTGACGGGCGCTTCCGGGCCGGGCGGCGGCGGCAGCGCGTGAGCGGCGGGGCGGGCACGGGGGAGCGGCTTCGGGGTCACGGGGGTGCGACCCTGGGGCGGTGATGGGGGACAGCAGCGTGGCGGGGTGCTGGGGGTACGGCCGGCTTGGCGGGGTGCTGGGGGTACGGCCGGCTTGGGGAAGGGAATCGCGGGAGTAGTGGCCGTAGTGGCCCCGGGCACGGTGCGGGATTCCCGGGGCAGCGGCGGCGGGAGGGTCCCGGACACAGTGAGGGCTCGACCGGGGGCGGAGCGGTGGGCCGGTGGGGCGGGGGTCGGTGCGATCACCGGCGGGTTCCGTGCCATAGCATTACTCAGGCGCTGTCCCAYGTTCTGGGGGCAGGAGCGATGCCGGAGAGCAGGTCCGTGTTTGAAGCYGCTCAGGACCCTGAGCTCCTGCGCGGGCTGACCCTTGTCACCGGAGCTGCTGCGGATGCGGGTACTGCCGAGCGGGCACCGGAGAGCCACGGTGCGTGGGGCTCTGCGGGCTGGAGCGGGGCTCTGCGGGTGCGGCGGCAGGAAGGTATTTGGCCAAGCTCATGTCCACCACAGGTTTGGTGTTATGTCCCCAGCACAGCTTAGATGATCACCCGGAGCTAGGCCATGGGAGCTGCCTGGTGGGTAGGTAAATGGGCTTTTTTCAGTGATGCCYCAAAGTCCTGAAAGCTCCTTCAACCACAGGTTTCTTTGGGTGGCCAGGAGGTTTCTTTGGGTGGGACCCAGGAGGCTCTGCTCTTTGCAGTGCAGCCTGCATGGCYGCCTGTGCACAGCCCTTTCTTGTTCTTCCAGAGAAACCTGCAGCACCCAGCTGTGAGGAGAAGGCCAATGGGGTCACCGAGGTGCCRGAGAGGATGTGCTGCTTGACCTGCGGGCAGGCGTTTGGGAGCCGGGAGGAGCAGGTGAGCAAGGCTGAGCAGGCAGTGTGAAATGGGAGTGGGGCTGGCATGACTRGTGGGATCCTGCTGTGGAAGCTCAGCCCCAGCATGGTGCAGCCCAGTGCGCACTATTTGCTGGAGCAAACTACTCATATCCTATTCAGACCTGGCACTCTAACCTTGTATATKATTGATTAAAAGTATAATTTACTGGAAGTAAATGGAAAGTGCAGCACAGGCCTGTACTTGTTTAGCTTACCTGTTTCATGGGTAACTCCTTAATATATTGCTTTTTTCCAGTCAGGACTGCTGAAGGATCCCAGCATCAGTTTAGTCCTTGGGGTCTGGCACCTCATGCCCTTTGGTGGTGATGGTTTTCACGGACCACCAAGATGCTGCCAGCTCATACTTTTTTGCTCCACAGACTGAGCACTACCGTCTTGACTGGCACCGTTTCAACCTGAAGCAGCGACTCCTGGGGCGCCAGACACTGCCTGCAGAAGTGTTTGAGGAGAAAACTCGCACAGGTCAGAAATGGGGCAGTCTGAATTGGAGCTCAGGGCTGTCAGCAACTTCACTGGGGTTCTTCTGTGCAGGGATGAAGCCCTCTGCTATTATAGGGTCCCTTTATTCTGTCCCTGTGGGGTCTTCTCAGGGTCCAGTACTGCTCCTGAACCCTTATGATTTGTTATAGGGAGAAGGGGGCATTATAATTGAGCCCCTTCATAAGCATACCTTGGAATCCATAGCCCCAAATTCCTATCTCCTCAGGCACCACAGCCCCCTTTTGATATATAGGGTATTTGACAACATTTCTGGGGTTGTGGGCTTGCCCTTTAAATAATTTTTAGAGTTTTGGGTAGGCTGTTCGTTTATCTTTGTTCTGTTTCACTGCATCTTTTTTTTCCGTTGTAGGTGATGTATCCAGCATATCAGGATCTGACTCGGATAGCTCTGATGCGAGCAGTGAGTCAGAGTTGCCACCCTCTGCCAGTGACAGCTGTGAGACCCCCCAGATTCCCCGCTCCCACAAGGTGCTGCTCCGCAATGCGAAGGGCCAGTTCATCTCTGCATACCGCTGTGTGCTGGGAGCTGGGAAGGCAAGTCACAGCCGGCTTTTTGGGTGAGGGAGCCCAGAGAAGGTGGGTGGCACTGGGGTGTAGACATCTGCCTGACAGTCCCCTACCTCCTATGATAGGAGGGGTGGCCTCTGGTGCCCGGTCAGAGCCCCAGACTAGTTGGTGGCCTGGTTTTTCTCTCTGGGGTGCTCCCAGAAACCTGCTTCTGGTGCCAGCAGAGGGGCTGCTGTCTGTCCTGGGGGCAGCAAGAGGTAAAGAGGTAATGCCATGGGTACCAGCAAGTGTTTCTGTTATCAGGGTGGCATTGAGGAGCCGGTGGAGCTGACAGCATCACTGCAGAGCCTCAGTGCAAGCACGTGCTGGGTTGTGCTGATGATGGGCGGTGGGCACTTCGCAGGTGCAGTGTTCCGGGGGTGAGTACAGGGGAACAGCGGGATTACCCCTCTGGGCAGTCAGGTGGAGCTGCTTTTGCATTTCAAGCCCATGCACACTGAGCTCTGTTGCTTATGCCTGCCCCTTTCCACAGCCCACAGGTGCAGGAGCAYAAGACCTTCCACCGCTATACAGTGCGAGCACGGCGGGGCACAGTGCAGAGCCTTMGGGACGCCCAGGGGTCGGCACCCAGATCGGCTGGGGCCTCTCTGCGCCGCTACAATGAGGCTGCGCTGCTCAAGGTGAGGATGCACCACAGTGCTGGGCTCTTGGCAGCAAGAGTGGTCCTGACTGGCWCTGTTGGGTGGCACCACATGGCTGCTGGAGGGCATGGTGGGGATGGTGGGCTCTGGAAAAGGGGCAGGGCCCAACTGAGGCTACTCTGTCCTGGATCTGTCGGTGCTTCAGAGCTATGTTTGCCACATAGTGTGCTCAGGATCCCATAGTGCTGCTCCTTTCTCTCCAGGATATTCAGGATCTTCTGATAGCCTGGGCACAGCACCTGAATGAGGCTCAGCGCATCTTCATCCGTGCCCCTCGACACAACCGTGCGCTGCTCTTTGGTGGCAGGAACCCACCCCTCACCCGAGGGGACCCTCGCATCTGCCACATCCCCCTCAGCACCCGCAGGGCCACCCTGCGAGAGGTGCTGCGAGTSCACACCACACTGGCCAGCCTGCAGGTGTATGGTAAGCTGGACCAGCCCTCGTCCCTGTGGGTCGGGRCAGGTGGGGTGACATGGTCCCTTGTGCATTAGGGGGTACTAGCCTATGAGGTGGACATGCTAGCTCTTCAGCCCTCAGTCCCTGGAGACGTAGGGTGCTCCCTGTCCCCAGGCAATGACAGGAGCACCCTTGCTGCCCAGGGAAGGACACACCACTGGAGGAGATCACTGGGTCCCCCCGGAAGGTCTGGCAGAAGAGACAGCGGAGAGCAGAGGTGGATCCCCCACAGGAGGACACAACTGGTGAGTTGAGCCATAGAGGGACACGTGACTCTGAGCAAGCAGGAGGAGTGTGATGTTATGGCACAGGCCTGATTTGCAGCCCAGAGGGCATCTGGAGAGTTTGGCTGAAGAGGAAAAAGACAGGGTATTATTGGCTGAGAGCCCCGAGTGATTTGTTCTGTGAGTGGGGCCTTAACCCCTGTCTTATCACCCCCCTCAGCCCCAGAAGAGGAGGAGGAAGAGGAGGAGGAAAGCCTTGCAGGGGAACTGGAGACTGTGGAAGTGACACTGGGGACCTTGGACCTCCGGGAATTCGAAGTGATGCCCAAGCGAAACCGCAAAAGGAGGAAGAAGAGGGACAAGAAGGTGGAGAAAGGTGAGGGGGAAGAACTGGCAACAGCAGTGTAGGAAGGCCACGGCTGGGATGCAGGCTGATCCTGACCCTCTTCACCATGTGTTGCCTGTGCAGGGCCTTGTGCTGAAGAGAGTGGATACCAATGTGGGCAGCCTAGCCTGGAGCCAGCGACAGAGCTGCAGGAGGAAGCTGAGGCTGGGCTGCTTCCCTGGGGCAAGGGAGGTAAGTGGGGTTGGGAGCTGCATCGGCTGGATGCCTGCCCCATTTACTGGTGGTTTTTCAGTGGGGTGAAGAGCACATGTTCATGCAGGTGCCCAGAACAGCTGGGTGTGAGAAGTCTTTARTGCAGTCATGGGTCTTTGGAACCATAGTTCTGAACCAGGGGGGGCAGGCAGTGCCGGGTTAAGCCACATCATTGGGAGGATTGGAGTGGATCTTACTTCAGGAGAGGACTTTGCTGCTGCCAGCAGTGCCCYGCAATGCCATGGCACATTACCACAGACTCTGAAGGTGCTGGAGGTCCTGCCCAAATTCAGCTAGCAAAATGATGCATTGTGTGTGTTCCCTACTCAGATCAGAGTGCTGCTCTGCCCAGTCTGCCCATCACACTCCTCTCCTGTTCTTCCCTAACAGGACACCTTCAGACCCAGCTCTGCGATGCCCTGTTCACTGCCTGCAAGACAGGAGATGTGCAGACACTGCGGCACCTCCTGGGTGTGCCAGAGAGCAGGGGCCTGCCAGGGGACAGCGAGGGTGGGAAGGATGCACAGTCTGTGGATATGGCCCACTCCCTCCTGAACCAGCCTGTGGATGAGCGTGGCTGCACCCTGCTTCACGTGGCAGCACGGGCAGGCAAGGCTGAGGCTGTGTGCCTGCTGCTGGAGGCAGGGGCAGACCCTGCCCTCAGGTACGGCTGCAGGACGCCCAGTGGTTCACAACCCCTGCTGTGGAACACCAGCAACTCACTCCTGTACCAGCCACAGGAAACGGGGACAGCCAGGATTGGTCTCTACCACCTGGGATGTCTGGGGTTTTTGTGGGAGGCCTAAGAGCTGAACCTTCTCTCTCTGCGTGGTGTGGCATGGCAGCAGGTGGGCACTGCCTCAAAGTTGCACCCAGGTTTACCGGTAGGCAGTTCCAAGGGCTAGGATGGGACAAAAGCCCCATGCATGTGGTTTGAGAGGCAAGGAGTTGATTTTGAGAGTTCCAGGATAGGAATAAGGAACTTTCCCCTCCTTGGCTGTGATTTTGTGGCCTGCAGAACACATTGCCCATCTCTGCTGAGTCTCTGGGCTCACAGCCCAGTGGGATGCAGGCAGTGAGATGGCAGGGTGASTGAGCTGGTTTCTGTTGTCTCACAGGGACAAGCAGGAGAGAACCCCATACTGTGTCTCTGCTGACAGACTGACACGCAACACCTTCCGCAAGTTCATGGTGGAGCACCCAGACAAGTACGACTACAGCCGTGCCAAGGTGCGTGCCGGCCCTCTGCCCTCACCGGCAGGGGGACCCCAGAGCACTGCTCTCCTCTCCCCTGGCTCAGTGGSAGATGCTGCCTGCCCTCTGCCCCCAGGTGCCAGGGCCCCTGACACAGGAGATGGAGGCCAAGAAGCTGGAGAAGAAGCGGGCACAGAAAGCCCAGCGGAAGCAACGGGAGCAAGCACAGCGGGAGGAGCGGCAACGCTGGGAGCAGGAGCAGCAAGAGAAGCAGCGGTTTGCAGCCCTGTCTGACAGGGAGAAGGTGAGGGTTGGGAAGGGATCCAGCCCAGCTACAGCAGTGYTGRTGTGGTGGGCTCTGGGCACAGCAGCTCCCAGGGGCTCGGGGGACTGAGCTGTGTCTGCTCCCCAGAGAGCCCTGGCTGCTGAACGGAGGTTTGCTGCACAGCTGCAGGACACTGGCACAACTCTTTCCAACATCAGGTAACCAYGCCAGCAGCATGGCTCTGCAGACAAATTCTCCCATGTCAGCAGAGCTGTTCCTTGCCCTTCTTGCTTCAGTTCTCATTCCCAGTCTAAAGCTATTCCTGTCCACTCAATTCCCTGTAGTGCTTGTGTAAAAGCTTCCTCTCTCCCTTGCCCTCCTCCCCTGAAATATTTTGCAAAGGATGACTTGGCCCACTTGCAGCCAGATCTACAGCAAGCCAATGCCCCAGCCATTCCTGTGTCTCTGTTCACTTTCCTCTGCCACCCCACAGGTTTGCCTGTGCGGATCTGGGCAGAGGCTTTAAAACCTTTATAGAGCTAAGTGCCCCCATGTTCATTCTGCCTCAATGTACCTCACACCATGCTCCTGCATAGCATCTCCTCCAGGAGCATGTCCTGGCCAGGCTGCTGGGTGAGCACATCAGCCCCGTAAAACCAGAGGAGCCCCAGCTCCCTCATGCTGCTAGGGTCTTGTGTCACACGCCAGGCAGGCAGTCCTTTCCTCTTCTAACTCTTTTCCAAGTGTCCCCTTAGCTCAGGACCAGCTCTGCTCTTCCCTGCAGCCGCTGCTGGCATTGTGGAGAGTCCCTGCTGGGACGGATCCCTTTCCATTACCTCGACTTCTCCTTCTGTTCCACGGCCTGCCTGCAAACCCATCGCCGGGCCCAGGCTGGCCACACCTGATGCTGGAGACTGCTGTCATCTGCCAAGGACCAATGTGGTGGGGACACAGCTGAGCCCTGGCTGTGCAGCAAGGGAGAGCCTGTGCTCTCAGCCCAGAGGGACTGAGCAATGGTCAGAGGGACTGAACTGGCCAYGTAACTGTCCAGGGCAGCTCTGGCAAGGCTCTAGGCATAAATATCACTCTGGGTGGAGACTCTGGTGATGTTAACAGCTGAGAAGTCTCCATATCCTGGCATGAGGGGCCTGGACTGTTTGGCGGCCTGGCTCCGTCTGGGCATCCTGTTGCCAGCTTTTCTCATGGCTACCTCACAGGTTGCTGTCTTTAGGCAGGACAGATCCTGACACGTACAGAGCCTACAGCCCTGAGCTACCTACAGCCATGCCTGTGGACACCCTTGAGACTGTGCTTTTACCTCTCCTCTCCTGGCTGCCATTGGCATCTCAGCCTTGTCACATTAGCAACTACTTCCTCTGCCTACATTGTCAATAAAGAGGTGCCTTGACCCCCCTGAGCATGGGGGGAGTCAGCATGAATACTGGAACTATTTGGGATGAATGTGGCTTAGACATGCAAATCAAGCTCAATCCTGGGCCCCATACTTAACACAGGCCCTGCCTGACCCCAGAGAAGGGCAAGAGCTCTGCATGTCTGTGCCAGAACCTGTGCCACTTTCCTTAGCCTCTGTGCTCCACCAACCCCCTGCCCTCTCCGCMGCCCCAGTGAGAGATGAGGCCAGTGCCCAGCAGCCGTGTTTACTCCAGGGCCGTGGTGTTGCAGCTGAGTGTCCTGTTGAAAAAGGGTTGGTCGAGGAAGAGCAAGAGAGGATTGAGAGGTGCCCCTTCCAGTTCCAGCACTGTAATGTTGTTGGGGCGRTCAGCATGCAGCACTGAGCCAGGCACAAAGAGGGTCTGCTGGGGCCCACGGCAGGTCCAGTACCGGCCCAAGTTGAAGCCRTTTATCCACAGCAGTCCCTGGAAGATGATGGAGATGAGACTGAGCTGTGTCCCAGTCCACCCTTATCCCCTTTCCCCAGTAATGCACTGGCTTACCTTGCTCCAACCTGGGAACTTGACGAAGGTGTCCCAGGCAATGCCAGGTGTCTCAAAGGTCCCAGTATAGAAGGCTGGTCCCACTCTGCCCCCACTGCTTGATTTTGGCTGGGCAGCGTGGGGCCAGCCCTGTTGGACTGCAGTATCTATGGCCAGGGGATAGATCAACCAGTTGCTAAGTGGACTGGAGTTCAATGAGAGGTTTCCTAGCAAGCCCTGAGATGGAACAGGATGGAAAATGAGATAGCAGTATCTGCCACAATCAGGATGCTTGGCACCCTCCATGGCATCTCCCTTTTGCAGCAGTGAAGGTGGGATGGGGTCCCGTCTAAGGAGTGAAGTGCCCTGGCAGCTGTGGCAGTGTAAGTGGGAGAGGGGTGCCAGTCTTTGAGCCCTATCCTGGCAGGTTTCAGATGAACCAGGTAGCAGGACTGGGGGTGGCCCCACCAAGGCTAGAGTCTGTCACAGGTGGCAGTAGAAGGGGTGTTTGGTCACATGGGTTGCCAGGCCATCCTGTCTGGAGCCTCAGGGCCCTGTCCCCTTACCTTGAAGTCACTGGTGTTGGCCCCGAAGCTGATCCTGCCCATGTTCTCCAGAAGCACGTCCAGGTTGTCACCTGTCCTGCCCGTTACAAGCAGTGCTGTCCGCCTGTCCCTCTCAAGCGTTCCCTGGTACTCCTAAAGCCACAAGGACAGTGCTGCTGCCCCATGCTCAGACCCCACTGCCCCCAACACGGCCAGCAGGCACATAGTATCCTGCTGCCAGCCCCACCAGAGCCAGGGCCGCTCTCTGCCCCCTAAGGGGGCAAATTTGGGCCCAAAAGCCACGCCACAAAGACTCAGTGGCTGTTAGTATCCTGGCTGTCCCTGAGACCCTGGCATGGCACAGCCCCACTGCTGGCCCTCAGGAGCACTGTCCCAGGGACTGGTGTGCTCCCACAGCCTCACCTTTTGCAGCATCACGTAGCCACGGTCACAGATGCTGTGAGGAGGTGCACTCAGGGTGGCTGGGTCTGGGACATCCCAGGGCAGTTGTGTGTGGTACACCACAAAGCCATGGGTCTGCAGGACACAGTGCAGTGGCACAGGAAGGGAAATGGGGCTCGAACTGAGCTCTGCTCCTCTGCCCCAGAGCCAGGGCCAGGCAGATARGAGTGTCTCCCCAAGTGTCCCCCACTATACCAGCTGCTCACCTGCTTTATGGCCTCAAAYGTGAGAGGGAACTGGCTCTGGATAGGGCCAGAGGGGCACAGCACGTCCAAGACATCCAGGAGGTCAGCATGCTGCAGAGAGGCATGGGTGCTGGGCAGTTGAGCAGTRCCATGCTGGGTAAGTACAGCCCTTGGGATGGGCACTCACCTTCCRCAGGGCCACCCAGCCATAGGCATACTTGGGGGTGGCAGGTGGCATCGGACCAACTGGCAGGGGCTGGAACTGAACAGCAGACTGTCAGCTGCCACCCATGGCAAGCAGGGAGATGTTCCTTGCCCTTCTGGTACCCTCTACTGTACTGGCACAGGCAGCAGTGCCCAGTAGAGTCCCCTTCTTGCTGCCAGGGTCATTACCTTGCTGATGACTGTGCGAATGGCAAACAGCTTCTCGGTGGGGTCTCCTGCCTCHGAGAGAGGGGCATCGTAGTCATAGCTGGTGGTCACTGGTTTGTACTGGTCCTTGTAGTCAGCACCTGGCCAGGGAAGTGATGTGAGCTGGAGGAAGGGGCTCTGGCACAGCCCAGGGCACGGAACCCAGCCCCATGCTGGCTGCAGTCCAGTGGTGGGGCACAACCCAGAACTGTGAGCCCCTACCTAGGGACAAAAGGAGTCCCCAGGGGAGGACAAGCTTGAGTTCAAGGGCCCTTGGCWATGTGTCCCATGGGACAGAACAAGAGCCTGAAGCGGGGTCCTCAGGGATGGCCAAGGRAAGCCCCTCAGCCCCATAGTATTCCCCTCCCTCCCCAGGGCAAGGCTCTACTCACCACTCCAGTAGGCAAAGTTCGTCCCTCCATGGAACATGTACCTGTGATACACCCCAGAGAGCCTGGTCAGCACCCCCACAGACCCTGCAGGGGCTCAYCAGGCACTGCCCCTCCCTGCTGCACCCACAGGACCTGCTGGCCTGATCCCTGTGGGATGAAGGCAAGAGGTGATGCCCAYTCCCCTGCTGGCTGTGCCCTCTGCCAGCCGACTACTTGCATGTTGACGCTGGCTCCCAGCTGCAACATGTCCTCCAGCCCCTGGGCCACCAACRCTGCACTGGTACTGGCATGTGCCTCCCCCCAGTAGTCCAGCCAACCTGTGTAGTACTCAGAGTTTACCTGGAGGAAAAAAGGACTGTCACTTGCCTGGAGCTGGATGTCAGCCCTGCTCACCTGCAGCCTGGGCCCATTATTCCTCCCACTACACCCATGCCAAGCTCACCAGGGGCCCCTTTGGTTCCACACGGCGCTGGGCACCAAATGCCTCTGTCACATTGGATCCTGTGGCAGTGGACGGAGGGAGATTTAAGCAAGATAGAGAAGAGAGCCTCATCCCCTCTCCCCTTCTCCTCCTCCCCCATAGGGGTACCTGGGCCAAAGTCGATGGTGGCGTAGAGCCCCTGCAGTGTGCCACAGCGCAGCTCCTCTGCCTGTGTGCTGTCGGTGGTGAAGAGCAGCACCTCGCTCCCCAGCAGTGCCCGAAAGGAGCCCAGCAGATGTCGGAGGTATCCATGGTCACAGGCATAGTAGCTCCCATACTCATTCTCCACCTGCCAGCAGGGCAGGGGCTGGCACCCAGGGTGCACATGGCAGGGCTGCAGCCAGGTCCCACTGGGTTTAGCACTCAGCTCTTCCCTTTCCTCCAGACATCATCAGATGTCCTGACAATCCCCAGGTGGTCCTGAGCATAATCTTTCAGCCCCACCATAAGTTCCAGCTCTGCCAGCATCCCTCAAACCACAACTGGGGTGATGGCAGGGACCTCAGAGTCYCAGCCCTTGGCTTTAGGTCCACGCCCAGAGGCCAGGAGGGATTTATCTGAGCTGTGCTGGGTAAGATCATTGTGTAGAGGATACAGGTGGCTTTTTTCAGGCACATCCAAAGATGATCCAGAGCAAGGCAGGGGGCTGGGCCCCACAGAACCTTACCTGCACACTGATGATGTTCCCCCCATGCTGGTACAGGCGTGGCTTGATCTTGGGCAGCAGGATATGGAGCCAGGAGTCCACAGCTGCCAGGTAGGCTGCAGGGACAGAGGGCTGCTCAGCCTGACTGCAGCATCCACTCCAGCCCACCCACAGCCAGCCTACCAGGAGGAAGACAGAGCAGATGGGGCAGGGTCAAGCGAGAAGGGGAAGTGGAGGTGGAGTACAAAGTACGGGGTTCCCAAAAGWTGAAGAAGATGATGGGGAAGGCAATGCATGCAAAGCTGGCAAGTGTGTGGAGAGACACCAGCATGCCAGGCATGGCATCAGCCTGTAAGGATACAATGGCCAGAGCTCTGTGCTGAGCCTCACCACGGTCAGAAGAGCGCAGGATGATGTCTGGTTTCCACAGCAGCCAGGAAGGCAGGCCACCCTGGAGAAACACACAGAGCAGACAGGGAGGCAGAGAAGCTGCTCAGCAGCCTGGACTGGCACAGAGCTGAAATCAGCCAGTGCAATGCCCGTGCTTGGCACCAGTGCAGCATGTGGGGCTGTGGGGCAGCAGCCTGGGCACAGTGGGCATGGCACCCAAGTCGGTGTGACAGACAGAAGGGCCAATCCTGCTGCGCCCTTCCCAGACCACCCATCACCGCTCTGTGCCAGGCTGGGAACAGGGCTCACCATCTCCCACTCCGCACAGATGTAGGGCCCTGGCCGCAGGATCACCAGAAGTCCCAGCTCAGCTGTCAGGTCCAGGAAGGCTTCCACATCCCGGTTCCCAGTGAAGTCATAAACTCCTGGCAGCRTCTCGTGGTAGTTCCAGGGGACATAGCTAGGGTGAGAGGGGATATCAGCATGCAGGGGCTAAGGGTGACAGAACCATCGCCCCAGCTGGTCCCTCTGCTTCTGGGAACTGGCTCCATCCTGAACTGAGTAMAGCAACTCGGGCTGGGCTGGAACTAGACCACACTCATGCTTGTGTCTGTGAGGGGTGACCTGGGGGTCACAGCCAAGTGCAAGTGTTGATCCTTCCTCCCTGTGGTCAGAGAACACCATTGTTTCTGTTCCCACTGATCCCAGAAAGCCCGTGGTGGCTGTGGGCTGCGTGCTGTCAGAGCTATTGCCATGGCTTACACCTGCACGGCGCTGAGCCCGCTCATGTACATCTTGAGCAGCCGGTCCCTCCAGGCAGGGCGCGGGACGCGGGCGTAGTGGATGCTGCCCGAGATGTAACGGAAAGGGGCTCCGTCCTTGCGGAAGCAGTTGTGCTCRTAATCCAGCTGGAAGGAGCGAGCCGAGGGGGAGGCCTGCAGGAGAGAGGAAGAGCTGGAAGGCTGCAGACCCTCCCCAGGTCCAGCCGCCCCCTCCCACGCTTCCTGGGACAGCCACTGATGGGGCTGGTTCTTGGGGGAGCCCTTCCCCGAGGTGGGTACCAAACTGCCCTCCTGGCAGAGCAGGACGGATGAGCTGGGCAACCTCCAGTGATGGTTCTTTCCCGCTAATCAAACACCCGGCGGCTGAGCTGGGTGCAGCTGGGGTGAGTGCTGCGAGGGCAGGCAGGGAGCTGGGAGTGCAAGCGCGACATTGGGGCGGGACGTGGGCCGCTGCAGGAGGGAGCCAGAGCATGCACGAAGAGCAGAGAGACAGAGCGGGAAGCAAGGCAGAGGCGTCCCAGCGGATCCCTCACAGCTCAGCCCTGTGCGCTTCTCCCAAACTTTCCTCCCATGTTTGCTAACCTGCGTGTGCAGCAGGCCCACTGCCAGCAGCAGCCCGAGGGCCGGCAGCCCCATGCTCGCCGGGGGCTCGGCAGGCCCGGGATGGGGGACGGAGCTGGACGTGGACACCACCTTCACGTGATTCGAGAAGRAGCCCGGCCAGCGCCGGCCGCTTCCTTCTCCCGGTCCCAAGTGCAGGCAGCTGGAAYAGCTGAGGCGGGGCCATGGGAGAGGCGGGCGGCTCTGCCCCTCCACGCCTGGCCAGCCGCACATCGGTCCCGCAAAGCCCGCCCGGCAGGGGACGCAGGCGGCACAATGCCCGCTCCGKYCKGGTACCTCACTGGTGCCCACCGGGRTRGTGAGTGACACAAGTGAGGGGACGAGGAGCCTCAAAAAAGTGTCACCACCAGGCAGAACCCTTCCACTGAGCTCAGCCCGTTTGTTCCATCACAGAAGTGGTGATGGAAAGCTCGGCTGTAGCTCTGATCGGAGGGATGCTACTGCGGGATGAGGGATAGGAAAACATCCCCAGGCCGAGGGCTAGAGCTGATGACAGAGCTGGTGACCGGGAGGTGCCGCAGGGCAGGGAGGAGGCAGCCCGGGATCCCGGCCGTAGCGCCACCCCCCCGCTCGGTGACGCGGCGGGTGACGCGGCCGTGACGCGCGGCGGCGGGCGATGACGCGGGCGGGCGATGGGGCAGACGCTGTGCGTCTGTTCCCGGGGCACCGTCAGCCTGGGGGGAGCGCGCTACCTCCTGCTCCACCGCCTGGCAGAGGGGTGCGCGGGGGGCTGGGCCGGGGGGGGCTCGGCCGGGGTTGCTCGGGCAAGGGGGGTCCTCGGGCCGAGGGAGCGCTCGGGTATGGGGGGGATGCTCGGGCATGGGAGGCACCCGGGCCTGGGGATGCTTGTGCAGGGGGAGTGCTTGGGTGGGGGGCGTGCTTAGGCACGGGGGTGCTTGTGCTTGGGAGATGATTTGGCTTTGGAGGGATGCTCAGGCATGGGTAGATGCTTAGGAATGGGGGGTGATTGTGCATGATGGGCATGGGGGGGATGCTCAGGCACAGGGAATGCTTGGGCAGGGTGGGGAGATGCTTGAGGCTCAGGTTATGTTGGGRCCTGGGGAAGTACTTGGGCTTGGTGAGTTATGATGCTTCAGCAAAGTGGGTGCTTGTGTGTGGCAGATGATTCTCGTGCTGAGTGACAGGGAGGGGTTGGTCATTCCCAGAATTGGAATAGCAGTAGAAGTGGGTGCATGGAGCTGTGGGTGTGGGGGTGATTGGGCCACTGGGGTTTTTCATGCAGAGAGGAGATGCTTTGAGTTCCTGGCGGGTGCCTGCAAGGTGGGGAGAGTGTGCATACCTGGGGGATTTGTGCTGCCCTCTGTCCCTCTCCCCTGGGTGCTCGTAGATGAGACTGGGCACAAGGCCCCAACACAGATGTCACAGCCCCCAGGCCATGCCATTCTGTACTCCTTGCAGGGGCTTCAGCTACGTGGACCTGGTGGAGGGGCTACGGGATGGGCGCTTCTACGCCCTGAAGCGCATCCTGTGCCACGACAAGGAAGACCGCCAGGCTGCCCTGCACGAGGTGGAGATGCACGGCCTCTTCGACCACCCCAACATCCTGCGCCTGGTGGCCCACTGCATGGTAGAGAAGGGYGCCAAGCACGAGGCCTGGCTTCTCCTGCCCTATGTGAAGGTGAGAGGGGCTTTCCTGGCTGCCCCACCATCTGAGAAGCAGCAGTGGTGACCAGCTGCTTGTGTTTGCCAGGGGGGAACCCTCTGGAGAGAGGTGGAAGCACTACGAGAGAAAGGGACCTTCATGCCAGAGCAGCGGATCCTCCTCATCCTCCATGGGATCTGCCGTGGGCTGCAGGCCATCCACAGCAAGGGCTATGCACACAGGTGAGGGCTGGCAGCGCTGGCTGGGGCGATTGGCAGGGCCCCAGTGGGCACTCGGTGATGTCCATCCCCGCAGGGACCTCAAGCCCACCAATGTGCTGCTGGATGAGGATGACCAGCCTGTGCTGATGGACCTGGGCTCCATGAACCGAGCTCGCATCGAAGTCAACAGCTCTCAGGAGGCCATGGCTGTGCAGGTGGGTGGCCTGGAACATCACCCCACAAGCCTTACCCCGTTCCAGTCCTTTCATCCCCATCCTCCTCTCTGCAGGACTGGGCTGCCCAGCGCTGCACCATCTCCTACCGTGCCCCTGAGCTCTTCACAGTGCCGAGCCAGTGCGTCATAGATGAGCGTACGGATATCTGGGTAAGGATCCAGCCCTCTGGCCCCCCATCCTACTGCTGCAGGGCTGCACTGACACCACCACGCTCCAGTCCCTAGGCTGTGTGCTGTACTGCATGATGTTTGGAGAAGGTCCCTACGATGCCATCTTCCAGAAGGGTGACAGTGTGGCTCTGGCCGTTCAGAACCCCCTCACGCTGCCCTCCACAACCAGGTGAGGGGCAGAGGGAGGGTGACCCYATTCCTGGGTGGCCCCCTGTCCTGTGCACCACATGGGTCCTCCCCTCGCTGTGTTTCTTCCAGGTACTCGGCTGCCTTGCAGCGCCTGCTCTTCTCCATGATGACAGTGAACCCCCAGGAGAGACCCAACATCAATGAAATCCTCCACCAGCTGGAGGGGCTGCAGCCAGCACCAGCAGGACAGGACACCACGCAGATCTGAGCCCACCCCATTCCAGTGGTGACTCATCCCAAGGCTGAGCCAGGGGAAAAGCAGCTGCCCTAATCCCTGCTGCCTTGCAGACCTGTTGCAGAGGAGATTGATGCCCTGGGGGAGAGCTGCTCTGTGCCAGAGGTGTGTTGGATTTGGAGTGTTCTGTGCCCTGGATGCTGCTGCCTGGGCCTTGGTCTGTGCCCCTGAGCTGTGGATATGTGATCTGCTGCTAAACATGGGTCCCTCACCAGCTGCTGCCTTCCCTGGGGGTGGCAGAAGAAGAGGATGTTGTGGGACCCCTCCTGGGGATGAGAGCCACTGTCCTGCAGCTCTGTGCCCCAGGAAGGTTGCTCCTGCCCGGGGCAGAGCTGCGGGCTGGATCCCGGTGCTGTGTTGGAGGGAGGTGGAGGCCCCAGTGCCCACTCTGCCATTGCTCTTGGCACCAATGTTGCCTTGTGTTTGAAGTAAAGTATGTTCTTGCGGAGGTGTGTTTGTGTCCCTGTCGGCAGGGAGGGRTCCTGTTGGGGCATGGGGAGAGCARGGCACGCTGTCTGGGTTAAGCAGCCAAGCATTGCTGGAGGGGAAGGGCAGCAGAGGCCAGCCAGGGCGGCACAGCCAGAGCATTAGCAGTAAGCAGGGAAAGTTAATCCCTGGCCCCAGCATGTTCCTGTTGGGAGCTAACACAACTCTGCAGCTGGAGTCAGACACTGCTGTTCAGAACCTGCGGAGCTGGGCACTGTGGGGCAGGGATCAACACAGGCAGGCAGATGACAGCAGGGGTACAGGCAGAACTTCTCTGCTGCCCATGAAGGGGGAGGTGATGGCCAGGCTGGGAAGCTGCCAGATCTTGGGAGGCAGCTGGGGTGGGTAAGCAGAGCATGGGGACAGCACCAGCCCAGCAGCCAAGGCTGGAAGGGCTCACTGGGACTCCAGCTGCTGGGCTACCCATGGAGAAGGGCTAAAAAACGAGATGCAGACAAGCAGTTTCACAGGGAGCGTTTCCCTCCTTTAATCCTCTCACCACACACAGCAGTACAGCAGCCGCRGGAGTTCGTGCCATGCTGGGTGCACCCACTGCACCAGAGAGCTGGGCATAGCCCTCGCCCTGCATCATGACCACAGGTGTCAGATTGCTCCCACTGCTTCAGCTACTATCCTTCCAGACAAGCCCACCTATCCTGGGCTGCACATGGGGAGAACACCCAGCAGCTGCCATTCTTTTCTTGCTCAGACTAAATCTGCTCTCCTGAGCTCCAGGATAGAACACAGGGCCATATATCACACAAGAAGCGGTACCCACTCCTGGCTGGAGCAACGAGGAGGGTAGGATGTGTGTCACGGGACCAGGGACTGGACCCCAGAGCTCTTACCTGCACAGGGGGCAAGCTGGAGCTGGAGCAGAGMATTGGGAGAAAGCATAGCAGCACCAGTAGCAGGGCTGAAGCACTCACCACACACCTGACCTGGCAAGAAACCCATACAGCTGGGGGGATATTGGGAGACACAGAGGCTCTGAAACGGTTTATTGCAAAGGGTTTGCAGGTAACACAGGGAAGGAGCATGGTCCTTTTTGGCTGAGGCTTCTCTACTCCTCACCCTCCTCTTCATCCTCATAGGAGTCCAGGCCCACTTCCTCGTAATCCTTCTCCAGAGCGGCCATGTCTTCCCGCGCCTCGGAGAACTCCCCTTCCTCCATGCCCTCGCCCACGTACCAGTGCACGAAGGCGCGCTTGGCGTACATCAGGTCAAACTTGTGGTCCAGGCGAGCCCAGGCCTCGGCGATGGCCGTGGTGTTGCTCAGCATGCAGACGGCGCGCTGCACCTTGGCCAGGTCTCCCCCTGGCACCACCGTGGGTGGCTGRTAGTTGATGCCCACCTTGAAGCCCGTGGGGCACCAGTCCACAAACTGGATGCTGCGCTTGGTCTTGATGGTGGCGATGGCGGCGTTGACATCCTTGGGCACCACGTCCCCACGGTACAGCAGGCAGCAGGCCATGTACTTGCCATGGCGAGGGTCACACTTCACCATCTGGTTGGCCGGCTCGAAGCAYGAGTTGGTGATTTCRGMTACYGACAGYTGCTCRTGRTAAGCYYTCTCWGCWGARAYKACGGGRGCGTAGGTGGCCAGGGGGAAGTGGATGCGGGGGTAGGGCACCAAGTTGGTCTGGAACTCAGTCAGGTCAACATTCAGAGCTCCATCAAACCTCAGTGATGCTGTAATGGATGARACAAYCTGRCTGATGAGTCTGTTCAAGTTGGTGTAGGTTGGGCGCTCGATGTCCAGGTTCCTGCGGCAGATGTCATAGATGGCCTCGTTGTCCACCATGAAAGCACAGTCTGAGTGCTCCAGCGTAGTGTGAGTGGTGAGGATGGAGTTGTAGGGCTCCACCACAGCGGTGGAGACTTGTGGTGCCGGGTAGATGGAGAACTCCAGCTTGGACTTCTTGCCGTAGTCAACTGAGAGTCGCTCCATCAACAGGGAGGTGAATCCAGAGCCAGTGCCGCCTCCAAAGCTGTGAAACACRAGGAATCCCTGGAGGCCTGTGCACTGGTCAGCCTGTGGAGAGAGATGAGGAGAGATTGCTCTGAGATTCAATTCTTTGTGGCGGTCTGACTGTCCCTTCAGGACCTGGTCTCCCCCTGACTTGGTCAGCAGAAGATCCCTCCCTGTGTACAGCAGGGTGTGCAGTGTGTTCTGAGTCCCAGCAGGATGCTGGACCCCAGACAGGAGAACACATCCCCTTCCTGCAGCCACTCACCAGCTTGCGGATCCTGTCCAGCACTTGATCAATGATCTCTTTGCCGATGGTGTAGTGCCCACGGGCGTAGTTGTTTGCAGCATCCTCTTTTCCAGTGATCATCTGTTCAGGGTGGAAGAGCTGGCGGTAGACTCCTCCCCGAACCTCATCTAGGAGAGAAGAGGGGCAGGTTGGGCCCGGTGGAGGCTGTTGGTTTGAGCCGGCCGCTGAGCAGACAAGTGGGCGCTAGCAGCCGTCCCTCACCTTGGCTCCGCCTGCCGGTGGCATGGCCAAGGACCCACACGTCAGCAAAGCCAACACCAGCATCAGGTTTCTCTGGCATCAGGAGGTGGCTGCCACCTCCCTGCGCAGCTCAGCTTCTCCCACCCATCGGGAGCTGCCTGCCCACAGTGCAGCAGGAGCTGCCGTGCCGGTTGGGCTGGTTTCTCTCTGTGCACATGTGTACAAGCACCGCTGACTCTAGGACACTCCAAGAACAAAAGCAGGTGCTCAGGTTTGTGGCTTCTCCTGGGGGAAAAAAGGGCCCTCAGGTCGAACCCAGTGCAGGATATTGTCAGCAGACCATGAGCACCAGCTGCCTGCTACCCACCCATGGGGTCACTCCAGGCTGTGTCAGCTCCAGGGAGTGTCCTGAAATGAGACTCCCAGAAATAGTGACCACTATCACTACCCAGCTAGGGTGCACTCACCGATCACGGTGGGCTCCAGGTCCACAAAGATGGCCCGTGGGACGTGCTTGCCAGCCCCNAGTGACCACTATCACTACCCAGCTAGGGTGCACTCACCGATCACGGTGGGCTCCAGGTCCACAAAGATGGCCCGTGGGACGTGCTTGCCAGCCCCMGTCTCACAGAAGAAGGTGGTGAAGGAGTCRTCCCCTCCGCCGATGGTTTTGTCGCTGGGCATCTGCCCGTCGGGCTGGATGCCATGCTCCAGGCAGTAGAGCTCCCAGCAGGTGTTGCCCATCTGGACGCCGGCCTGGCCGACGTGGACGGAGATGCACTCGCGCTGGGGAGGGGGAGGCAGGGTCAGATCCTGGCACGGCTCTGTCCTGCCTGCTCCCACCAGAGAGAACTCTGCCTGGGTGCCAGTGTCACATAGTCACCCACACAGTGCTCTGGTCAGTGACCCCACAGAGCACATTTTCCTCTGGGAGAACTGCACGACCCTGAGAGGTCCTCCCATGGCTGGCATTGCCCTTAGCCATGCACAGGCACCGTGCTGGATGAAGAGCCAGCTCTGGCATCTCTCTTGTCCCTGCCCTCACTGGGGGCTACCAGCACAATGGAGTCTGGCTGGGCTTGTCCTTCCCCTAGTATGGGCAGCAGAGCCTGGCCCAGCTACTCTTCCAGGATCCCTGGCAGCTCCAGCCCCTTCCCCATGTGACAGTAGTCCAATGAGGGACTGAGCTGACAGGGGCACACATTTAACCCATGAGGGGCAACCAGCATGGGGTAACCCTTCTGCCAGCTGCTCCAGAGCCAGATGAGCMCTCAGTATCCTAGGGTGAGTGGCCTTGGGGATGCAAGGGTGGTAGGTGACAGCCATGTGAGGGCTGGCAGTGAAGACCAGCAGTTTCTGAGGCAGCACAGACTCCCTGGGCTACCCAGCCCCAACCCTGTGCTGTAAATGTTAACAGAAGTGCTGAGGAGCAGGCTGTRAACTGGAGATGTGCCTCCTGCACTCCCATTCAGGAGGTGCAGGCCTGCTCTGCTGCTCCAGCATCCCTTCTCTGCTGCGCCCGGAACCTTGCCTCTGCTAGCCCTAGMATCCCTCTTTCACTACTCCCGGCATCCCGGTTTCCCCGAGTGGGACATCCCGACTGCCTAGGGGTCCTGGAGCAATTTGTTCCTTCATTCCCCGACGGCACATTCCCCTTGGCCGCGATGGGGCCCGAGCCCGGGTCCAGAGCCAGGGTAGGACAAGGACTCCTGCTTCCTGCGGGAGCGCCAAGGGCAGCCTCAGGGAGAGGAAGGGAGGACAACCGGGGGCAGAGTCCCCGGCAGAGCCCGGTCAGCGCTACGGCGGGCAGAGCGCTGCGCTGCGCCTTCTGGCACGGCCCCGGCCCACTCCTGAGCCGCTAAATATAGACAGCTCCGGCCCCGGGCGAGGGCAGCGGCGAYTGCCCGCTTCGGAGAGCGGCCCCGRCCCGCTCCGCCGCTGCCCGAMGCCCGCGGGAGGAGACTCAAGGGAYGGGACCYATACCCGTTCCCCGCCGCCAGCCCCGATGGAGAGCGCGCTACCGCGGGGGGACCCCCGCCGAACGCCCAGCTCCGGGCCCCGGTGTCCRGCTGGCGTCACCACCCCCGGCAGCTGTCCCCGTCCGTCCCCGGCCACCGCTCYCCACGGGAGAGGTCACCGCGCTCCATCCCCAGCGCCCCCCGCGCTGCGCCGGCGGGGGASACGGGGGGAGGCAGGCGGCCCAGCGCCGGTAGCGGCGGCGGGGGGCACCGGGCGGTGGGGGGCGGCTGTCCCCGGGCAGGGGCCGGTAGGGTTGCCCAAGGTCACGGCGGGGAAGGAGGGGGCGCATCACGACGGCTCCGCCGGACACGGTGCTGCGGGGGAACTGCCGGGGGACTGCCGGGGGACTGCCGGGGGCTGCCGGGGGACTGCCGGGGGCTGCCGGGCGCCCTCCCCGCCGCCGTGCCCGCCGCCCGGCCGGCACTCACCATGTTGCGGCGGGTGGTGCGGGCTGTCCCGGCGGCTCTGTGCAGCGGGGCTCGGCGCGGAGCTGCGGCTGCTGCAATCCCCGCCGCAGCGCTCTCTTATAGGTGGGAGGGGCTTGCTGCCGCCACRCCCCCTTATTTGGGTACACTTGCATGCGGGGAGGGAGTCCCCCCTTCGGGGGCCGCGGGAGCCTAGCRGGGTCCTCCCGGCTGCGGAGGAACGCCGAGGTGGGGGGCCCGAAGCTTCTCCCTCCCCCTCCTCTGCCAGGAAGGAAGCCAGCCAGGTGGTCTGGGRGCCAACCCTCAGGGGTGACCACCAGCCATCTGAGAAGGTACAACAGTCCTTAATCTGTTCTGCTACCGGCTCCCTCCAGGGATCTGGGGACACCCCGAGTCCACCTGGGCCTCTAGAACAGGAGAAAGGAGTAGAAACATGGCAGAGACATGTATCAGACTCGGGAGCCAAGTTTGCTCCCCAAACCTCCCTTCGCCATCGATGCTCTGGGAGGCTCCAGCCAAGGTTTGCCCTTCTCTCCCGGTGGGGACAGACAGGCAGTGCTGCACAACCCTGTGAGGCTGCAGATCTGCATGACAAATCTGGGCTGCCAAAAAAGGGTCATTGCAGCCTGCTTGCTGTTAATAACTTGTGACTACATTCAGAGCAGCAGCTCTGTTTGAGCCCTGGCCAGCACAGCCATCCCTGCCAAGGCCAGGGCTGATCCTGCTACCGAGGATGCCTGGACCATCAGCCTTGAACGCTGCCTGAGCAGGGAGAGGGTCTTTGCTGCCAGGGCTTTGCATCACACAGCTGCCGATGGTGCTGGATGGGCCTCTGCTGCTCAGCAACCTGCTGGGAGACACTACTGTGTCCCTTGTCCAGGACAGAGGTGCAGGATGACTTTCATAAAAAGCAATAGGACGCAATTCCAATTCCTACATCCTTCTGGTGGCAGAGTCAGGTCTTTGTGAAGACATAGGGAGATGTCAGCAATTGAATTATTCCTGAAGGAGCAGGTTCCTTCCTTTCCCCACAATCAGACAAGACRTAAGGAGTGGATCAGAGCAGCACCTGGTGTAAGGGGCAGTGACTCCTGCCCTGGCGTAGCAGCAGCAGGAACCACCTAGCCTGAGCCTGGCACTCCAGTCACAGCATGCAGAGCAGTGCCAGCAGCCCTGCGCAGTGGGATGAGTGCCTGGCCTCATTCCAGCAGCCAGGGCTGGCCCCCACTCTCCCCTCCAGCTGACGCGGGTGCATGTCGGGAGGAGGGCAGGGGAGGACAGCCCCCGTGGGTCAATATAGCTGGAGCATTAGCGGTAAGCAGGGAAAATTAATCTCTGGAACCAGCACACTGGATAATGGGTAACAGAAATCTCCAGTTTACAGCAGGAGCCAGGAGATGATGCTGGGACTACTTACCACCAGGCAGGGCACTGAGAGGACTCAGAATGGAGACAATTCAGAAGATGATCTGGGGCAGCTGGAGTGGGGCCACATGGCCCAGGGGGAAGGCAGAGTACTGGCAGAGCAGGGCAAGCGGAGGTCAGAGGTACTCCCAGACAGAGRACCCCATGCCTAAGGTTGGTATTTCCTTCACATCAGCAGCACTTCTSTGGATCCCTTTGCTGGACATGCTCCAGCACCTTCCCAGAGCCTGCCATGTGCATCCCTGGACATATCCCTCTGGTATGGGCCTCTTCCCTATGTGGGGACGTGGAGCTGGRARAAAGCATAGCAGCACCAGTAGCAGGGCTGAAGCACTCACCACACACCTGACCTGGCAAGAAACCCATACAGCTGGGGGGATATTGGGAGACACAGAGGCTCTGAAACGGTTTATTGCAAAGGGTTTGCAGGTAACACAGGGAAGGAGCATGGTCCTTTTTGG